TTGGAAATTGTAAAACTCTCTTATTATTAATGTCAAATACATTTTACATTTATTAATTTTTATCTAAGCGTAATTTGTATACCAAATCTTCGTTGATAATATGATCACTCCGTTTGATAAGATGTTGTAAACTCTCTCTTCATTTTAACTATCCGGATTTGGATAAGTGAAAACATTAACAAAAAATTTCTCTTGTAAAGCTTTCCCAAACGCTTTCCGTTTCGAACCAGTTATGTAATATTTCATTTAATTCAAATATTTTTAGTTTACTTTTATATATTGCATAATTCTATTGAGAGTATTTCCAAATCAAGATTCCTTATATACCTTTCGTTTGGTACTCATATTGTAACATTTCAGTTATTTTATCAACTTAATGAAGTTTTATTTTCAAACAGGTGGCAAACCTCTTCAAACATATTTTGGACCGTAAGTCTTCTTAAAGCTCTTTAGTTTGATACCCATATTGCAATATTTCATTTCTTTAATCAATTTAACTGAGTTAAAATTTTCAAATAGGTGGCAACCCTCCTTAAAAATATTTCCAACAGTCAACGTCTTTAAGTTGATACCTTTATTGCAATAAGTCATTTATTTTATCAATTAAATTGAGTTAAATTTTCAAACAGGGGGCAACCCTCTTCCTACATATTTTCGACTGCAAGCCTTCTTAAAAATCTAAAGTTTATTGCCCACATTGCATTTTTTCAATTATTTTATCAATTTAACTGAGCTAAAATTTTCAAATTTCTCAAAAATATTTCCTACAGTCTGTTTTTTAAACTTCTTTAATTTGATACCTTTATTGTAATAAGCCATTTATTTGATCAATTATATTGAGTCAAATTTTCCAACAGGTGGCAACCCTTCTCAAACTTATTTTCGGCTGTAATCCTTCTTAAAAATCTAAAGTTTAATACCCACATTGCAATATTTCATTTATTTTGTCAATTTAACTGAGCTAAAATAAAAATAGGTCGCAGCCCTCCTCAAAAGTATTTCCTACAGTCATCTTTCTTAAGCCTCTTTAATTTGATACCTATATTGTAATGTGATTTATTTCATAAATTAAACTTAGTTAGATCTTCAAACAGGTAGTAACCCTCCTCAAAGTTTCTCATAGTTTCGGCTGTAAGCCTTCTTAAAACTCTTTAGTTTGATACCCACATGGCAATATTTCATTTATTTTATCAATTTAATTGAGTTAAAATTTTCAGCCCTCCTCCAAATATTTCCGACTATCACCTTTCTTAAACTCCTTTAATTTGATACCTATATTGTAATATGTCATTTATTTTATGAATTAAATTTAGTTAAATTTTCAAACAGGTTGCAACCCTCTTCAAACATATTTTCGGCTGTAAGCCTTCTTAAAACTCTTTAGTAAAAAACCACATGGCAATATTTTATTTGCTTTATCAATTTAACTGAGTTAAAATTTTCAAATAGCTGGCAACCCTCCTCAAAAGCATTTCCAGCAGTTATCTTTCATAAACCTACTTAATTTTGTACCCACATTGCAACATTTAATTTATTTTTATTAATTAAACTGAGTTAAAATTTTGAAATAGGTGGCAACCCTCGTAAAAGATACTTCCAACAGTTATCTTTCTTAACCCTGTTTAACCTAATACCCATATAGTAATAATTCGTTAATTTTATCAATATATTTGGGTTTAAAAATTTTCAAATAGGTGGCAACCCTTTTTGCGGTATCATTGGTTCTGGTATTATACCGAACAATACAAAAAAGAAATTATTCAAATCGGTTCAGCCGTTCTCGAGTTTTGACGACCGTGACATACGAACACAACATTTTTATTAATATAGATATGTACATTATGCAAATCCTTGGGAAACTTATAAAAAGTTAAATTTTTTTATAAATTATTTCGAGTACCAAGTAGTGCATACCTATTGCAAGATAGCAATTAGTATAGATATTTCTTGTATTTCCCAAAGTTTTGAGTAAAGATCTGGCCTTTGATGGTCATCGTTTGAATTGAAGTACTTACATATCGAGGGCTTATATTCAATACCCTCTATCTGCACTTTTCTGCAAAATTTAGATTCTGATATAAAAATCTACCTAATACTTAACTGTCATCGGTGATGTTACTGCTGACCTTGTATAACGCTTGACATACGCATTTACTATTGCATTGCAAAGTCTAAGATCAGTGATGACAGGTACGTCCCAGATGGGTTGTAACAAAGTAGTTTTTGTGATAATTGCAGATAGAGGTATTGAATATAAGCCCTCGATATATTGTTATGAAATACTAATATGTAATAAAAAAATGCCATAATGCGCTATACAATTATAAAGAATTTCCTGTCTCAATTTGAGTGTGAGTGACTGCATAGGGATGTATGTAAATTCGCTAAAACTTAAAATGTGTGATAATTATTCCTATTAGTTTCAGTTATTATTATAACACTAACGCTTCGTTTTTTTTTTTAACTTTAGACTTCTGCACTTTTTCAGAATGTTTGTTTATTTACGCTTAAATTCTTCCATCGCCAATATTTCCTTCATTTCTAATTCCGTAATTTTGATTTTTTCTTGGCTATTGAGTTCTCTTCATTTCATTTCCATTTCCTTATCTTTGGGTATCTATTCTTACTTTTCTTTAAGTTCTATTTCCCTTTCTTTTAGCACTAATTCCCTTTGCCTAATCTCTATCTCCTTCTCCCTCAAAATCATGTCCCGGTCTATTTTATGCTTTCTGACTGAAATTGTAAAATGTCGGAAACTGCGGTTCTTGAATATATGCCCTTGCGGCTCGTTGAAGCGACTCGTTCGTTTTCAGTAATCATTTCAGGTAAATTTTCAGTTATTAAAGATGTCGATGTAAAATTTCTTCTAATTCATAAAAGAAGGTGCACTTCTTAAGCAGGACAGCTGAAAGAAAAAATGTAAAAAAAGGTAAATACGTATTATTCGGTGAACTTAAATAAGTAATTCACTAGAATTACATTTAATGGTTTCTCCATCCATACTCCCTGAACCGGTTGAGTCCTCCCATCCTTTGGCTTTGTTATAGGTAGAGCGCATATAGCGAACATTCGAGCGCAGTGCCTTCCCCTCCACTACAACATTATACTCCATAACAAACCTGGTGTAATAAATTTCAGCTATTAGTCTCTAAAACAAAATTTAAAGAGTTTTAAAGGTCTAGAATTTCATTTTTCAAATAACCAACCTCAAAATCTCTATTTGCCAACAAGAATTGCACCAAAGCGTTTTTTTCCGCCACTGCCCACTTCTTTGTAGGATTGCAGCGCACCCGCATTGTCTTTGCCTGAAAATTCATTTTGTAAGAGTAATTCAGCATCAGTATTTACATATGCATGTGCATTAATTTACCTTTACTTCACTAACGTTCTGCATTTGTTTAAATATTAAAGTTCTTTATTTTTCGACTTCAAAAATTTCCTTTGGTATGCAGCGCAGAAGAAGAAGCACAAGCACAATGAGGTAAACAGAAATCAGCTGATCAGTTATAACACACTGAACACATAACATGCAGAGTTGTATTATTTTAATATCTTTATCTATCCAAGACAACAACAAAATTTTAACCATTGTGAAATTTTACGATTTTAAGATTTTACGACGCTTAACACGTTTTGTGAATCCCCTAATTGTATTATATTATGACATATATTGGTTATATTGTGTTCTCAACTTCATGCAGTAACCAGTTCATGCGCAGGTTGCTTTGTTGAATACACACATACTGAGACAAAAATTTTTCGCTTGTATTGGAAGCTCTGCCAGCGCTGTGCATCACTGTTGTATATACTTTGGGGTTGTCCAAAATAAGTAAAGTCGGAATTTTAATGCTCACCTCATAGGATTGTACTATACCTACGGTGACCATATTTATGGCAGCTGAATACGGACATAAAATAATTTTCCCAAATTTTCCCCAAAACCTTTTCCAATTATCCTAGATTTATTAGCTCTGAAACAGCGTCTTTATTTGGCATATATTTTTCAAACTTTTGTGAGAGCAAATATTCAGTTGTAACATCACACAATTGTAGAATACTTTTCCATAACTTTTTGCTTTGTGCTCGGGGTTTTTTCAGGGACCGTAAATAGCAGTTATTTTTTGCCAACAGTCAAACTTGGCCATATATTTATCAAGTTCGAAATAAAAGTCTTTCCGGATAGTAAACAAACCGCTTATCCAAATTAAACAAATTTGGTACCAGATGAAAGAGAACTTAAATAGCTTTTAAACAGAAATAACGATCGAAAGCTACCACTTCTATTTATATTTTTTTTTTATAATTTCATACAAAAGAAATGCATATAGCTGACCCAAGGTTTGTTCTATGGTAATAAAAAAACATTTTTTTTTTTTTAATATTTTTCAATAGCTGGCTTTCCTCGTTTAAATATTTCAGTTTTAAAGCTATTTTAGTCCTCTTTCAGTTGATACCAAACTTGTTTAATTTGGATAATCGGTTTCTTTATTATTAGGAAAGGACTTTTATTTTTGACTTAAAAATATCTGCCCAAGTTTAGCTGTTGAGAAAAAGTAAATGTTATTTACGGTCTCTGGATTTTTTCCAGCAAAATTTGTTACAAATATTTTTAGGCAGAGAAACATGATGAAAATATCCGACTACTTTTGAAGTAGAAGTTGTTTTCAACAGACTCAGATTTCGACCAAGCACAATGCAGTGCATAGCATCCGGAAGGAGCTGAACTGCAACGCGTACCTTTGAAGGGATCAACTTTCCTTCGATCTTGAAGAACTTCTCTACTTTTACAAGATTTTCCTGGAAGGCGTCTTATTTAGAGTTTCTCATGTGGAAGATACAATCCTTCATAAAATCAGCAATAATATTTTTGGCCTAGCTTCGCCTAATGAGTTCTTCTCTCTTCACAAAATTTGAAGATTGCCAGGCACCACAGCACATTGGACAGGTGATAGCACCAGAGCAAAAAACAGCAAGCTGTGTGTACTTTTTTTTGTTGGTTTTAGAATCCATATAAGTAAACAAAGTTTAAAACTTTTTAGTAAACTGTAAACAAAAATGCCTATTTAAAGACGAATTCCTGGAAAAAAGTTAAATCAACAGAAGGAAAATGAGATGCTACTAGTGAAATTTCTTTTAGAAATTTAAACAATAATATTATGTTCAAATTGGCCCCATTTAACTTGTTAAATGAAAAAGAGCTTTTTGGAAAACACAATCGTCCACATTGAACATTTGGAGTTAACTTTGACGGTTGTTTGATTACCAATAAAAATTCGAAAAAAAATATTTAAAATCAAGCTTTTGTGTTTCAATTTTTTTGTGCGAATGTCTGGTTCATGATATTAACGCATACGGATTACTTAGAGGCTTCAAAATTTTTAGTTCGTATGCACTATTTATCTCTGCGTACGATGAGACCTCATGGGAAATAACTAATTACCGCCTTGGCATCTTTTTTGGCGGGAAGACATGCATACAATTTTTATATTTTCTGATAATTTTTAATTTTTAATATTTTTCAAAATATGCATTTTTTGAACGTTGGCGTGTCAAATGAAAGCTTTTGGGTCTTTCTGATTGGCCGGGGCAGAAAGCTTTCTGATACAACTCTGAACTGGTTTTCAAACGAGTTAAATGATAGCCCGAACACAATGAAAACGACGAGCTACAAACCACAGCTGTCAAATTATTTTAACACGTACTCTTATGTAGATAATTATTTTGGCGACGACCGGGCTACGCGACGGCTGTGGTTGTGGCCAGATTAGATCTATTTCTATTTTTCTGGCGACAGATAAGGTTCTTCCTCTTCTTTTATGTCAAACTCATACAAATTCATGATGTCGCTGCCGCGTTCAAAGAAATCATGTCGCCATCGACAAAGCGCTTAGATAATAAAGATGACAAATTGGAAGCTGTGGTCGGTAGCTCGTCGTTTTCAATGTGTTCAGAACTTGATTTAACTGGATCAATTTTCCAACAACAATTGCATGCGATTTAACTGGTTTATGAACATGTTTCGTTCATTTAACTGGTTTAAGCCCATTTAACATGTTTAGCTCGTCAATTTGAACGTAGTATAAGAGTCAAGTTTTCTGAAGTGGGTCATCCAAAGTTGACATTTCAATTTTTTATATTTCATTGGCTGATTTTGAAAGTTAACATGGTGTGCAATATTGACACCAAAGCTTTTGCGTTAATTTTATTTTCTTGATGAGTTCTTTGCAAATAAATTTTTGTGCAGGCTTTTACACTTTTTGCAATATTTCAGCAACCATTCATTCGAATCTTATGATTTTTCGATAGCAATTAGAGAACTTATTGGGCAACAAAATTAAGTGGTCAGTTTGTAAAATTTCGATTCTTGTTTTATAAGAATTTTTATTTTTTAATCAATTGAATATTATTACCAACTTCTCATAAACCTAGAAAAAAAATTCCAAAAGCATTTTTTACTTATGCTTCTAAAGATATGTATATCACCAGAAAATACTGAAAATTTGCTTCAAATAATATGCCCTTTAAAATACATTTATGCTAGTTTTATGTACAGTATGTGATAAATAAATAAACTTTTTAAAGTTTCACAAATTGCACTTACATAAAATTAACGAAGAATTCAAACATTTTTAACCGACTTCAAAAACAGGGGGAGGTTATCAATTCGTCGAAATATTTTTTTTTTTTATGTATGCTACCGCATAACTTTGGACCACGTGAAAACGTTAAAACAGAGTTTAATGTTCATTTTCCTCGATTTCTGGTTTCTGGTTTTCGATGGAGATGGTGATTTTTCACGATTGCCTAATTTTTTAATCGGCCTTATCATGAGTTTCATTTTCCCCGAACCGGTTCACTTTTCACTTTTGGTTTCCATGGTTTTACTATGGGCGGATGACAAATTTTCGGGTGAAATTTTTTTCAGGCGAAACTCAGGATAAGGCAGAATATTTCGAATACCGAAAACTTTTACTGAATTTTTATTTTTATTACGTAGCTCATATTGGTGGAACGAATTCGAAGTTGGATTGCAAATTAAATCTTCGAATCCTGGATAAGTACATATCAGTAGTAAACTCTTTGAGGCTGTTAAGTGTACAAAACAATAGTACGTAAGTATGCATTGCATATTTTTAGGACAATGTTTTCATTCGCAGTTAAACTTTTAAGAGCTCTCAAGAAAAACGAAAAATTCATATAAAATGACGCATAAGAAATGGAAAAGAAATTTTCTTCTATTCTATTGATCATGAAAAAATTAACGGTGCTCCTAAATGTTTATATGAGAATAGTCGGTTGTGTCTTTTGCTTAAAAATACTTGTTTTCCTGAGAGCTGCAAACTGATTTAAGAAATTTTGATAGAAGAAAATTTCTTTTCTATTTCTTGCCCGCCATTTTATATGCATTATTCGTTTTTCTTGAGAGCTGGAAAAAGCTTTTCCAGCTGACAAAGTTGGGCATTAATAAATAATCGTGTCATTACGTAAAAAAAATTGTGATTAAGTTCATTTCTACATGACATTTTTTTAAATGGCATACATTTTTTGTCATTTCAATGCCTACTGGAAATTCGGCATTAGAAAAAATTTTTGTATGCAGCCGCTAAAAATTACTGTTGATTTTTGAGAATTTTTTTGTCGAGGGTGTTCCGCATTTTCTTCCATATAACGCATAAACAAAATCTATTTTTATATGAAAGAAAATACGCAATACCCTGGACAAAAAACCTCTCAAAAATCAACGGTAATTTTTAGCGACTTGATGCTTGTACTGATGGGCTGCAAAACTGCATACTGAAAATTTTTCTAAGAAATCTAGTTGAAAAATTCAACACTTTGTTGAAAATTTCTTCGTATTTCTTGAATTTTTCAGAGTTCTATGAGATTAAAAAAAATTATTATTGTGTTTTTGCTGTTGAATGAACTATATTTTTATAAAAAAATTATAAAAATTTGGAAGGAGAATTCAGAAAAAGAAAATAGCCAAAACGTTAGGGTATGCATATTTTTGACGCTGACCGTATATGGACATATTGAGACGATTACGTGCATGAGAAAACTGGCTTTATTCATTGTATCAGCATCTCTTTATTTGTTATTTTCGCTCAAAGTTTGAAAATTTGCATTTGTTTTGTAGGATTTTTTTTTGTTGAGCATTTATGTGTAAGCATCGAATACTTCTTTTTTAATTTTTCTTTTTCATACTCAAAAGCCAGTATGAATTGATGAAAATGATGGAATTCAAAATACTTAATATACAATATATATTTATAAAGAAATACAAAATTATTGGTAAAGGCAGGTAACACTTCACATTACAACTCGTACGCAACCAATACATCGCCGGCATAGCACCAACATCGTATAAAGCAGTAGCAACAAAACCGGTTTTCCCAGCTAGCAGCCAACGTTATTTCTCTCGTCTACGAGTAGGCGGTGCGTTCGAGCCATTCATCCATACTAAATGTCGCTCGATTCAATTCGTCAGTGTCGCGTTCGCGGAATATGTCAATGTATGTTTTCGTCTTTACCGCGCACATCAAAAAGTCATCGAAGGT